GTTTTGGGGTTTAGGGTCTAGGGTTTAGGGTTTAGGCTAAGTTAGAAGTGGTTATTTAGGCTAAGTTAGAAGTGGTTATTGCCCTAAGTTGGGTTATAGGATGACAACCTGCTTTGAGATCTGCTTACCTAAGTTTCCTGGAATAATGCGTCTGTATCCGATTGAAGTTTCGTGGCTTGCCGCTGCGAGTGGCAGCCCATGCCCTAGTCCGCCTGATAGAACAAGGTTGGTTTAAGGTTTAAGGTTTAGGGTTTAGGGTTTAGGGTTTAGGGTTTAGGGTTTAGGGTTCGGGGTTTGGGGTTTGGGGGTTAGGGGTTAGGTGTACAGACAGGAAAAGTGCCCAAACATGATGCAAACTTTTTGAAACGTTAGAAAGCTTCTCCGGGGGTTTACGATACTAGGGGTAGCATCTAATCCCTGAACCCGAAACCCTAAAACCCTAGACCCTAAAACCCTAATCTCGAAACCCTGAAACCCTAAAACCCTAAAACCCTAAACCCTCAACCCTAAACCCTAAACCCTAAACCCTAAACCCCAAACCCGAGCAATCGAGGCTGCGCTAGACTCACCCCCTCCACGAAGCCCGAGGCTCGGAACATGAGACTTGGCCCCAGACATCATGGGTTCCCCTACTACCCCCCTGTTTACGGTTTGGGTTTAGGGTTTAGGGCTTAGGGTTTAGGGTTAGGAATACTGCCCCCCCTAACTTCCCACCATAAATAAGGCTATTTAGGGATAGTTAAGCCTCATTAAGGCGATTTAAGAGGGGAATCTGGGGGCGGGGGGGGGTTAGTATGGAGGAGGGAAACCCGTGACTACACCTCCGCACCCGATTTTGTCCTTAGGCCCGGGCGTCCAGCACACCCAGAATCCTTCAGATGTCTTGGAGGGTTTCGTGTGAGGGTTTAGGTTTAGGGGTTTTTTGCTATGGCTGTGTGCGCTAGTTTGCGGCATTGGCGCCGGCTCAGCAAAAGAGGTATTCCGCAGCCTACGGCCTATTGTAGCATACTGGGCACGGGGTCCAATGATTCTTTTTGGAGTGGCTTGGTCCCACACATCGCTACAATGACGTTTGGTAACCACTTCAATCCAGATAGGAAATTGCATTCCCCTCCTACGTCCTGTTACTTTGAACCGATCCTTGTAGGCAGCAGTAAAGACTACTGACGGCGTGCAAGAGTTTGCTAGCTCAGCCTAGAGCAAGAACTCCGAGGGGTTTGGTATAACCAGCCTGGCACCAGGCCGTGTTATTGTAATGCAGTAATGCCAATGACTCTTCTGAGGAATTTGAAGTAGCGTCAATTCTCTTCAGCTGCGGTGTGGACTCGTGGACACTGTCAAAGCAGTCCGTAAATTCGAGTTGGGATGCAAACAGCCTGGAAGATCCTAACTTTGGACTTTTGGTGGTCCACTTGCTGTCTCTTGAAGGAAAAGCGCGTCTTCAAAACTCGAGTTCCTCCCTCGTCAGGTCGCGGCTGCGGGGAGTCTCGTTAAGTATAGCGAACTTGCAGACTCCAGTCTTGGAAGATGCCTCCGACTCGTCTGCACCTATTCCTACACATGCACTTCTACTTCCACTTCAGTGATGGACATTGAAGTGGTCCCAGGTAGCAGGTGAAGTAGCAAAACCTCCTAGCGGCCCTTAGAGCACCGCTGGTGGTCATCAGGGATGCTGCTCATACCGCTGGTGGCCGTAGTTGTGGGTTTAGGGTTTAGGGTTTAGGGTGTAGGGTTTAGGGTTTAGGGTTTAGGGTTTAGGGTTTAGGGTTTAGGGTTTAGGGTTTAGGGTTTAGGGTTTAGGGTTTAGGGTTTAGGGTTTAGGGTTTAGGGTTTAGGGTTTAGGGTTTAGGGGTTAGTGTTTAGGGTTTAGGGTTTAGGGTTTAGGGTTTAGGGTTTAGGGTTTAGGGTTTAGGGTTTAGGGTTTAGGGTTTAGGGTTTAGGGTTTAGGGTTTAGGGTTTAGGGTTTAGGGTTTAGGTTGTAGGGTTTAGGGTTTAGGGTTTAGGGTTTAGGGTTTAGGGTTTAGGGTTTAGGGTTTAGGGTTTAGGGTTTAGGGTTTAGGGTTTAGGGTTTAGGGTTTAGGGTTTAGGGTTTAGGGTTTAGGGTTTAGGGTTTAGGGTGGCTGCGTGCGATGGGATAGTCAGGGCTCCCACCCAGATTGTGCCCATCGTAATCAGGAACATCTCTAGTGGGTGCTGGTAGGATGCGTTGAGCACATGTGGATCGTTGATCCGGTGGTGGTGCGAGTGTATGTGCTTGTAGAAGAAGCGTGAGTGGTGGCAACACCAATGGACCACGTAGAATTACAAATTGCTTAGCATCAAGTGCAAAACACAGCCTTGAAAACCTCGAAAGACCAATGCGCGCCTGCAGACGCGGCATGGTGCCACTAGCCAGCTTGCAAGAGGAATCATCACCAACCAGTTGAAGTTGCCGACAATGAGGGCTGGCCCGATAGAACTGCACTGGTTTCTTGCGGGGTTGCACCTTGTCTGAGAGTTTGGCCATGATGGGTGTTGAAACATAATTGCCAACCAAGCCCGGGACGTAGAGGAGAAGGAAATTCTCCCAACGCTGAGGATTCGCATCACACACCCAGTCCATGAAGATCCAACACGTACGTAACAAACAGGGCTGACATGAAGAGGATGAACGCCTTGTCGGCAAGCACATCCAGTTCCTCGGCCTTCAGGACTTGACCCTTCGGCTTCGCTGTAGCACCGTATACCCCCCGGCCCACCCCGCCCTAAGCCCTAAACCCACAACCCTCAAGAAAGCCAGAAACACCAAACCCCCGCGAAACCCCCTGAAACAACCTGAAACCCCCTTCAACCCCCGCAGAAGCCCCCCCCCCCCCCCAAAACCCTAAAACCTAAACCCTAAACCCCGAAGGCCCCAAAGCCCCCACGCCTCGCTGATTCCAAGGCCGACTCCACCGCCCGCACTCGGGCGAAGGGCTGCAGCGCCTACTTCGAAGGGGTCGTAAATTAATGACTCATGAACCCCAAACCCGAAACCCTAAACCCTCTACCACTTGTCTTGGTTATGGGTTCCACTCAAAAGTAACCAACCCAAAAAAGGGTGCCCTTACTATCATATGAGTCAGCGTCAAAATTACTTGTTTAAGCCTTGTTGGTTTTTGAATTAGCGCGTCCCCTATCGTTTTCCATGTTTTTCACCTACCGCACTTTATCCTATAGTATCAAATAACACGTCCCCTATCGATCCTCGGCATTTTGCTGCAACAACTACCCCCTCTACTAGAATAAGTAAGCGGTAATTTTGACCGCGTCTCATATGATTTCTCGGCTACCAACACTGTAGGGGTCGGAATGATTACGAAGAGTATGCCCTTATGGCCCCTAACTAAATATACTATAATAAGCCCCAGAACCCTCTGCTAAAAAAATCAGACCCCTATAATACTTTGAAGGCTCAGGAAACTTTGTAAGCAAGGGCTGTTGAGGTTTGGGGTTTAGGGTTTAGGGGTTGGGTTTGGGGTTTAGGGTTTAGGGCTTTGGGGGTTTGTTTAGGCTTTGGGGGTTTGGGGGTTTGGGGGTTTGGGGTTTTGGGGTTTAGGGCTTTTGGGGTTTAGGGCTTTTGGGGTTTCGGGATTTCGGGGGTGGGATTCGATGTCGCGCCTGCGTGAGCGCCTCCGACAAAGAGGATGAGGAGAGAGTGCTGGTGCCAGGCACAAGGTGCCAGGACCTCGCTCTTCTAGGGTTTAGGGGTTAGGGTGTAGGGTTTAGGGTTTGGGGTGTAGGGTGTAGGGTGTAGGGTGTAGGGTTTAGGGTTTAGGGTTTAGGGTTTAGGGTTTAGGGTTTAGGGTTCAGGGTTCTCGGGTTCAGGGTTTAGGGTTTAGGGTTTGGGGTTTGGGGTTTGGGGTTTGGGGTTTGGGGTGCGCAATTAGGGGTACCTGATTGGGGACCTTCTTAGAATAGGGGAATCCCCTACTATTTGGGGCGGGCGGTCTATTTTATTATCATTGCAAATTTCATCATCACAATCATCAGTATTATTATTCGTACTTTTAGGTTTAGTTCTATTATATGGATTATCATCTTCAATTCGATCATCATTTTCATCACAGCTTCTGTCAGTGGCTTGGTTATTTAATTCAAATGATAGACTTTTAGTATTTCTTGTTCTGTTGTTACGTTTGTTACGTCGGCATGATGTTTTGGATAATTATTGTTTGCCATAAGCAGGTTTTGAGCGGGTCGCCTATTGTCGTAAACCCCCAAATCTCTCAATCCCTAGCTCCATGCAAGCCCCTAAACCAAAACCGTTATGCCCTAATTCCCAAGCCCCTAAACCCCTAACCCCCGAAACCCAAGCTCTCCGTCCCGAACCCGAAACTCTTAACCCCTAACAACCCCTCTCAAGACCTTAGCCCTATCTCAAGGGAGTTTGTGCGGAGACTGAAGCGGTTCCAGGCGCAACGCGCGCCGCGATTCACTTCTCCGTATGTCTGCCCATGAGGGTATAGGGTTTGAGGTTTTTAGGGTGTGAGGGGGGGGGGGGGTTGAGGGGTTGAGGGGTTCCGGGGTCAGGGCAGACAAAATGCCTTTGGCATTCGCTCTCCGTTAACAGCACAAAGACATGCTCCAGTGCCCCTTGGCACAGGGCAAGAAACATCCGTTTTCGGATGCAACGCGCACCGAGCTGCTTCGCCACCAGCTTCTGCCTCAAGAAAGGCGAAGCTGGGACGGCAACTTGATGAGCTAAGCGGCTAAGCTATCACGCCCTTCAACCCCCAAACCCTAAACCCTTAAACCCTTAAACCTTAAGCCCTACACCCTAAACCCTAAACCCTAAACACTAAACCCTAAACCCTAAACCCTAAGCCCTAAGCCCTAAACCCTAAGCCCTAAACCCTAAACCCTAAACCCTAAACCCTAAGCCCTAAACCCTAAACCCTAAACCCTAAACCCTAAACCCCAAACCCCCCCCCCCCCCCCCCCGCAGAAACAAGCTGGAGTCTCTCCATCCAGGCATTGACTCAGGCGTCCAACCCCTTCACTTCAGAAGATTCCAGCGGCTTCAGCCGGATGTCGAAGAACAGGTATGCCTTGCAGAGTTGATAGTGTTCTTAAGGGAGGGGGGGGGTTAGGGTTTAGGGTTTAGGGTTTAGGGTTTAGGGTTTAGGGTTTGGGGTTTGGGGTTTAGGGTTTAGGGTTTAGGGTTTAAGGTTTAGGGTTTAGGGTTTAGGGTTTGGGTTTAGGGTACCTAGGGAACCTTGGGAAAGCTTATGGAGCCTCGCAGAGAGCTTCGGGCGTGTGATGATGCGCTGGGTTCACGCCTGTAAGGACTGAGTTCCACGCGAAGGCTCTTCCAGGCTTCGAGGCACTTGAACCAAAAAGTTTATGCTCGCAAACTGCTCCAGGTGCATTGGGTGTCTGCGCTGTCTCTGTCTCACGGGTCCTTTGTGCTAGCTGCTAGAAGAAACTAAGCAAGGAAGAAGCGAGAAAAGAGATCTCGCAAAGGGCCCGCAGGCGAACGCAAAGCCCATAGGCTAGGAGAACAACCCAAAAAACCCTATAAACCCTATGAACCCCTATGAAACCCTATACACCCCATAAACCCCATTAAATCCTATGAACCCTATAAACCCCGCAAGCCCTACAAGCCCTAGAAGCCCTCTAAAGCCCTCAGACTTCTGCAAGCGTCATGTGGGGGTTTCCAAAATTAGGGGTACCTTCTTGGGGTCCTTATTATGAGGGAATCCTATTCGGGGGGGCTATTTTGGGGGGCTATTTTGGGTTTAGGGTTTAGGGTTTAGGGTTTAGGGTTTAGGGTTTAGGGTTTAGGGTTTAGGGTTTAGGGTTTAGGGTTTAGGGGGTCCCCCTACTTTCATAAACCCCCATGTTTGGTCACCTTGCAGAACCCAAGGTGCCACCGCGCAGAGGCCGAAGAAGACCTGGGGGCTTCCGAAAATTGGGGTTTAGGGTTTACGGATTAGAGTTTAGGGTTTAGGGTTTAGGGTTTAGGGTTTAGGGTTTAGGGTTTAGGGTTTAGGGTTTAGGGGTACCCTTATTGAGGGGTTCCTTTAAGGGGATTCGAGTCTATTAGGGGCTATACAAAGGGGTACCCCTATTTTGGGACATCCCACCTCCGCCAGCACATGGCCCATCTTGAGCAAGCACCTGCTGAGACGCAGTGGAAGCTGCGGGACTGAGGATTCTGAGAGCTTTTCAGGGCCTCCTCCTTCATGAAAGCTTAGTTGTCCAGTACCTAGGGGTTTTAAAGGTTAACCTTTGGGATTATAAGGGGAATATATTCACCCAAAAAGGTTAAAGGTTATCTACTCTACTACTAAGAAAGAATCTTCCTAAAACCATACAAGGAACCCTACAAGAACTTAAGGAAATTTGCCTTACATTAGGAGGTCTTGGCGGCCCTGGGTGTAGGGGCTGCGTGAACCTTTTGTTTTTCAGGGTGAACAACACTTAAAGAGACACGGAGCGGATATTCAGTTCGGGACGCTCGGAGTTCAAATGCTTCTCTGACCTGACATCACTACGCCGCATGATCTAGGGGCCTGAAGAGCTAGAATAGGGGTGTTGAGGGTTATTTTCGTACAATGATAAAGGCACCCTGAGGGAATAATACTAGTAAGTAAAGGGACCCTAAGGGAATGAAATTAGTGATTCTTCCGACACCTATATTGATCGAAGCTACACTTTGGTTTGGTGCTGATGCGGGGATTTGCGAAATTCGGGGAACCGTATTGGGGTCCTTACTACAAAGGAGTCCTACTATCTGGGGGTCTATATTAGGGGTCTTGCTATCTGGGGGTTCTACAGTAGGGGTCTCCTAAATTTCGTAAACCCCCCATGTCTCCATGCAGCCGATGGGGGACTGAAGAGGAGGCAAAGGCCCAGCGAATCAGAACGGATGGGTTCCGGTGCACACAACATTGGGGCCCTAAACCTTAAACCCTAAACCCTAAACCCTAAACCCGAAACCCTAAACCCAAACCCTAAACCCTAAACGACACGGAAGTCTTTCAATTCCCGAAATCTTCGTGCGGACGAAGGCGCTCCCAGTACATGTCGAAGATGAGCGGGTACTGGGCACTGAAGAGGATGCAGGAAATCAGGTGCGACAGGCCAGCCTCGTCAAGATCTCTCCGGCTCTTCGGATCTTCCAAGGGGCTCTTTCACATCTCTGAATATCTTCCTGGGATCCCCATGAAGTTATATTATATATATGTATATATGTATACCCTTTAAGGGATTATATAGGGTACCTCATTCCCTCATTCCCTACTAAGAGCCAGGGAGTAAACCCTAAAAGCTCTGACAGCCCTCGAGAGTTCCTAGGTGGCGGGTAGGAGAGAAAGGTCTGGGATTTGGGGTTTGGGGTTTAGGGTTTAGGGTTTAGGGTTTAGGGTTTAGGGTTTAGGGTATAGGGTTTAGGGTTTAGGGTTTAGGGTTTCTTTTTGGGTGGTTTTCTGACGATGTCGGGGCTTGTTTGGGGGATGGCAATGATACGGCCAACCCCCCTGAACCCTGAACACACTGGCTATCAGGGCATACTACTAGCTGAACCCTGAACCCTGAACCCTTATCATTTCGGCTGTTCCCCCTGAAACTAACAGTCCCTAATGAGGGATTATCAAAGGGCAGGGAGTTACGAGAATTCCTATTAAGGACTGTTTGTAGAAGGGGGAACTTCCCAGCTTATAATCCCAAACGCTTGAACCCTAAAGCCTAAAGCCTAAAGCCTAAAGCCTAAAGCCTAAAGCCTAAAGCCTAAAGCCTAAAGCCTAAAGCCTAAAGCCTAAAGCCTACAGCCTACAGCCTAACGCCTAAAGCCTAAAGCCTAAAGCCT